TTCTCGATGTGGAGGGAAACGAGGAAGAAGACAGTTTGGAAGGTGAAATAGAGGAATCGGATCCGGAAGAGGATGAGAGGTATTGGGAAGAGCAATTCAAGAAAGCGATAAGCAACCCGGAGAAGATGGAGAAGCTTGCGGAGATGCGTATGGCGGTGTCAGAGAAGCTTTACGATAAGCAGTTAAAGGCTATGGAGGAAAGCGAAAAGGGAGATATCGGAGGAGATGAGCTGGAAATGAGAGGTAAGAAGGCGAAAGTGAAGCCAGAAGAGTGGAAGACGGTAGGATATGGAAGGTGGATGAAGAAGATAAAGACGAGTAGGATCCCACCTGAGCTGTTTCTCCGAGCTGCGGTTAGGCCTTTTGTTTACAGGAACCTTGTCAAAGAGATTGTTCTGACAAGACACGCCATTTTGGAAGGCGAGATTGGTCAAAATGAGTGATATTTGATGCGCGTTATATTGTTATTAGCATCACAAGAGATTATCAAAGAACCTTCACAACCTCGTGTATGTATAAATGAGTCGGAAATTGAACCTTTTTTGTTGTCAATGGTTTGTTATGTTGCTTATGCATCCCAGCTTGTTCAATTGAGATAAGTAAGCTCTGTAACTCTGATAAGTTGATGCTTAAAATGGTAGTCATATTCAAAAAGTATTCGTGTTTGATCACAAAAAAGCATTCGTGTTATAAATTAAATCCATACTGATAGTGTTTGATCACAGAAAGCATTCGTGTCGACAAAAACAAGGCGCAAACTTAAATGTGATTAATATTGCCAAGTCCCTAGTGATGTACTTCAAGCGAGAAAGTACTCCTCTGGGGTATAAAACTTCAATCCACTCGCCTGCAACCAAAGAAAGAAGTTTGTTTATCAGGAAAGTCGAGCAAAGCATCTTTTGGGTGACTTAAAGAAAGATGTGGGTTTTCACAGAGATGTTTCATGTTTGTAAACAAATACCTGCGCAAATTTTATGTCTGTATCACTGTGATCACCATTTCTTCCGGCTGCATCCCCAACATAGAAGGATCTGATGGGCACACAAGTCAGTATCAAGTATCAACCAAACTAAAGTGCTAATTACAACACAAACGGATAGAGATTAGTCAGAAAGGCTAGTAAAGACTAAAGAGAGTGTAATCTTTCAGCTTTGCTAGAAACTTCAGGTAAATCCAAGTCTCTTTTAAGAGAAGCTTTGGGAGAAAACTCACTTATCCATATCAATTGCAATTCCAGAGTTAAAATGCTTCTTCATGAGTTGCCACATTCCAGCCTTAGGTTTGCGGTAAAGGTCATCTTTACCACCAGAACTAGCGACTCCACAGGCTATAAACACCTGTTTCCAAAGACAAAACCATTTATATAATATTCAAAGTATCAGTACTTTTGAAACTTCACAAAATTCGGATGTTAGCTAATAACAACTTGCAAGACAGCATAACTCATTAAGAGCCACATGAATTAACTTTAAAATAGGGCTTTTGAATACATTATGGTTTTCTTTCAATTACTTCAAATAATAACTAGGATTTGTCCATATAGTCTTCTTGAGTAGATAAAATCACGTTCTTAATTGTGAAAAACTAAAGCACACTTAACCTGAATGGGAACCTCCACACGCTTGATAAAACTGTTGAGACGTCCAATTTTCGAGTCTACTGCATCTTGTCTTTTGTTCTTCCACCGATCAATGTTGGATTCATTTGTGAAAATGACCTGTTGAACATTTAGAAATCAGCTTCTCTATGAAAAAAAAAAAATGAGACAGTAGAGTAACTAAGACTTAGATGGAATTCCAACTGAAAATAAGATACCAGCTTATAGCCCTGACTGTACAGACTTTGCAGTTTCTCAGGAATGGACGGATACATAAGAGACCATTTATCTGCCCCAACTCTGAGAAGAAGGAAAAAATAAAACATTATGACACTTTCTTATTTTCCTTCAAAGAAGAGTTCATGCATAACACCATTATATATCAAGATAATAAAAAGGATAAACAGAAAGTGTGCCCACCCCCCAAAAAAATTTACTAAATGTGCACTGTGATAAGAACGAATACAAAAGCTTAGTGCCTTTCCGCAAATATGTAGTCGCCGAAAGTAGACAACCCATAGGTCCAGAAATCACAAATGGCCACAGTAATTGGTTGGGAACAGAGAAGAACAGCAAAATTCTGAGTGCCCAAATCGCTTCTTACATTTTCACAGATGTTTTTGCAAGGCATCCATCAAAGTCAAATGCAGCTATCTTCTCTGAATCATTAAGACCATCATCCTATTAAGAAGCAACAAAGAAATTTACCATTAGGACATATAACATTACCAAACAATTCGAGAAGCAACATCATATCTAAAGATATTTCTCACCCGCTCAAGGAATATTACAGTCTCGAAAGCTTTCCATTTTGGTAATAGACTGGCACCCTGAAAAACAAGGATTTTAGCAGCCAGAGACATAATGATTATAAAACGAATGCATATGCCAAATCTGCAAACTAGCAAAGAATACGATAAGTTAACACGGGAATACGCGACGTTAACCTAATAAACACGAAGAGTGCCTACCCTGTACTTGTCCTTCACATCAGAAGCTGAAAGAGAGATTTCTGCTTCAGCTACGACCTGAGAAGTTGACTCACTGATGTTCATCTGCATAACACAATATTTTAAAATGCGTTAGGAGAATTTCTACATAAGAAAGAGACTGGCAACAATTAAGGAGGTATCCAGTACATCTCATTGACCTTCATAAGAAACAGTAAACTACAGGTCAATGAAGATTCAAACTATACAAAAGTATATTGAAAGACGTTTATTGCCATCTAAATAACCTGTGAATGTTTTCTTTTGTTTGTTTCCTCCGTTTGCAGGTTATCAGTTCCAGATTCATCATTATCTTCATCCATCTTTTGCAATCCCGTCAGGAAATGAAGTAAGAAGTTAGTTAGGAGAGCCCTAGGATATTAAAGTCTTGTAAAAAGAAAACAAATATTATGAAAGTGGGTTTTGCTAGTAAATATACCAAAGTCTTCTTCTCGCATTGTTGGACTAATTCCTTTAATGCATCCTTATCACCATTCTGTGTATTGTAACAAATGAATCAAACATAAAAGATGTGTCAGCACGTACAAGGTATATTTGGGTGTTTATAAATTATACAACAGACACTGACAACGATGTCATGTCATTGGTATATTTGAGAATCAATGTGACAATACTTTTAATTAGTACCACATCTATATAATAGCATTATCGGTTTCACTGACCCTAGTTACCAGAGGACATGCAATCATCCAGAAGCTATATCCCCTTAACTGGAAATTCCTAATATTTAAATACAGACTAACCTCCAGTGATGAAAATCCACCAATGTCTTCTACAGAAACAATTGGATCTGATTCAACAGGAAAACAGCCCAAGTGATGCCATTTTGTCACATCATATCCCCGGAAGTCTCTGGTCACGAGCGCCAATCTCAGTTCCTTTGCAGTGATTGTCTGAGAGCACTTCTTGCATGATGATCTGCCTGATTTCGCATACTCAGCAATAACTTTTGAAGAAGCAGAAGAACCTTTCGTCTCCTTATTCTTCTTCTGCCCACATATTTCATCTGATGCAGGACTTTTAACTTCTCCCTCCTTCCCATCAACCTGGTTTATTTTAGCCGATGCAAGCAGTTAATTAAGAACAAAGATTTAGTCTAACTTAAATCAAGATGAGCAAACAAGACTAAATTTCCAGTATTACAAAATTATACTATTGATTATGTACCTGAGAATGTTTTCTTTTGTTTGTCTCCTCCGTTAGCCCTTTATCAGCTCCAGATTCATTGCTATCTTCTTCCATGTTCTGCAATCTCGCCAGGAAATGAAATAAGAAATACGCTTAAAGAAGCTGTGATTAAGACATGAAAACACTTAAAACACAATGCTTTCGTCAAAGAAAATAGATATTATAAACAAAAATGTTTTTGCTCGTACATGTACCAAAGTCTTCTTCCCGCATTTTAGAACCAATTCCTTTAATGCATCCTTGTCATCATTCTGTTTAGCATAGCAAATGAATCACGTGAACAAGATATGTCAGTACAAATAAGGATAGTTATATGTTTGGTTCTTTATCCAACATGACACTGACAGAGATGTGATGCCATTGATAAACAGAAAATCAAGGTGACAATACTTATAATAACTATCTACATCCAGAAGCTCTATCCCCTGAACTAGAAACTCCTAACTCTGTAGCACATACTAACCTCCAGTGATGAAAATCCACCAATGTCCTCTACAGAATCAATTGGATCTGATTCAACAGGAAAACAACCCAAGTGATGCCATTTTGTCACATCATATCCCCGGAAGTCTCTGGTCACGAGCGCCAATCTCAGTTCCTTTGCAGCGATTGTCTGAGAGCAATTCTTGCATGTTGATCTGCTTGATTTCGCATACTCAACAATAACTTTTGAAGAACCAATCGTCTCCTTAATCTTCTTCCCACTTATCTCATCTGTTACAAGAAGGTTCTTAACCTCTTCCTCCTTCCCACCTACCTGCTTTGTTTTAAACCGATACAAGAAGTTAAGAAAAGAACAAAAAACTATCATTGTTCCTCGCGAAATGTCGCTTCCAGATCTATCTTACTTCTTTTGCAGGCTCGCCACATAGTTCAACCAATTTGGCCAAAGCATCCTGATCATCTTTCTGTAACCATAAGCACATGAATCAACACAAATCACAGAAATAAGTGAAAAGTTAAGACGAGTCCTTAGTTATGAAAAACGAAGTTTCTTAAGAACTTGCACAATGACAAGACCCAAATGTAAGGTCGACGGTGAGGAACACTAACCTCTAAATCGGATAATCCTTTGATATCATCGACGGAACCAATCGACTCCGAATCGGTAGGAAAACAATCCAAATGGTGCCATCTGGGCATATCGATTCCGCCAGGTCCTTTGCTAATCAACCCAACCCTCAAGGCTTTCGACTCAATCGACTTCGAACATGACTTACACAACGATCGGTTCGACTTGGCGTACTCAGCTACAATCGACATTGTCTCCGGTGAGATCTTGTTCGCAATCGTTGTGGTTACCCCAAAGCAATAGGAAGAGAGAAAATGTCTACGTTCTCGGAAAAGGAGATTGGACCGATGGATCAGAAGAAGAGGGAAACGAAGAGACATAAAAGGTGGGGAAAAAGGTAATTAGGGTTGGGTCCTCATTCCCGCCTTTCTGAAAGTAGAAGAAGACTGTGGAAAAAAGGTAAATAATATCTGAACGTGGGGGGCAGAAATGTAAATATATATGTCGACTGAAGTCTCAACGTCGACCAAACAAACTCAAGCCTCGTCTTTTCCTTTTTTTTTTTATTGGGCCTTTTTGGGCTCCGAAACCAAAATATCTAGAAGCTTCAGTTTAGCTGTTTAGTTTATGGGCCTTGTTTTTTTTTTTTTTTAACTTTATAAATATAGGGGAATTTGGCCTAATAACAAGCAAACAAATTATAATCTGGAGAATAACCATAATAGATTTACGCTACGATATTTTCAATATTTTCTACAATATTGTCGAAACTGACCTTGTTTACAGGAAGAAGCGCGTGGCGTAAAAGAAAATTTATTGAGATTTTATTGATATAATGTCGTATATAGAATTCTACA